ACACACACACACACACACACACACACACACACACACACACACACACACACACACACACACACACACACACACACACACACACACACACACACGGTGCTGCCCCTACACACACACACACGCTCCAAATCAAGTTGCATAAATGCTTGAGCTATGTTTTTATTATAATTACTGTGAAATCTGCCTATTATGTTTTCGTCATTATTACAACAAACACACACTTGCAACTGATAACACTGGCAATGCTTTTATATTTATGAAACTATTAAAATCATGCTTCAAATAAGTGGGGGTACGGCGTACCCCCGCGTCCAACGCCCACTACACCACTGACAATATGTCCCATGTATTTCCGTGTCCCCATCCAGGTGCCGCTGCCATTTGGGGTGCGTACTGTGACGACTCCCCGCGGCACACACTCCATCAAACACCTGGAGCAGCTGCAGGACGGCGGATGCTATCTTTGCTCCGACCGACGCCTCGCTAAGCCGGTCAACATGGAGCTGGCCAGCAAACGCCCGGGCATCTGGTACCATCACAGCAGGAAGCCCCAGAGACCCGAGTCCTCGTCCGCAACACCCCCGGGACATTTATCTTACAGGCAGCGGAGGATCCTGCTGGTGAAGAACAGCGATCCGGGGGTAAGGAGGAGCGTGGTTCTGAGCAGGAGGTCCACACGGAGCCTGGGGACTTTCCTGGATGCCGTGTCCGAGGTGATGCAGTTTCACGTCCACAAGCTTTACACTGCAGAGGGACGAAGGGTAAGAAGTGGCTTGTTTCACTTACTTATGGTGGTGGAAAGTACAGTGACTGAAGTATTAAGCATTTATTGTATTTTTTTATTGTCATTTGTTTTGTATTTGTTGTTTTTTCGTGTCTTTTCATTATTTTCCTGTATTTTTATTCTTCCACCTACTCATGGTCATGACTTAATGTGCTTTCATATTGCTGATGACCCTGAATTTGTCTCCAGATCGACAGCGTGCAAAGCCTCATGACGTCTCCCGGTGTTTTGGTGTGTGTCGGTCGGGAAGCCCTCAGCCCAATGTTGGTAAACTTCATGAGGAAGAGCTCAGAGGAAAAACTTCCCGGTGTGGGCATCAGGTCCCCAGTTCTCGGACCGAGGATCCCGGGAAACGGGGCCCGATCTCCTGCTACTCAAGGAGTGAGATCCCCACCTCATGGAGCTCATTCAAGAGCCAGCGAGTACAGTGAAGTGCATGAAAGCAAGAAAAATGGTAATTTGTTGAAAAAAAGTGAAATAGTGAAAAAGAAATACTGGGTTGTAATTACATTCGTTTTTCTCTTTCTCTCTCTCTGTCCTTTCAGTTAACTTCGGTCTGGAAACCAAAAAAAGCATCATCCACCCTCGCTCAGATTCCTCAAGCCGCTCCGCCCGTTTCTCCTTGTCTTCGGAGAAGTCGTACAGCAACGGCGTCAGACCGTCCATCATGAACGACGACATTGAAAAGCGTGTGGTGGTCAACAAAGATGGCAGCCTCTCTGTGGAGATGAGGGTGCGTTTCCGCCTGCACAATGACGAGACCCTTCAGTGGTCCACACAAGTTAAAAAATCTCCATCTCTGACCAATGAATGCCAGGCCCCGCCCCACTATCTGCAGCAGGGCCAATCGGAGAGCTGCTCTGACCCCGATTCCTCCTCCTTTGACCCTGAAGGTGTGGATTATTCCAACCAAAATGGTGTTATGAAGGGAAACGGATGCCCCTGCTGCTACCAAAGACAGGAGCAGCAGTACGACTTGTGGGAAAACCCGGCACACTGCCACAAACACCACCCTGTCCCTCCTCCACCTGCATCCAGACACACCATCGCAAGGCATACACGCTCTTCTTCTTCCTCTTCGTCCTGTAACTCCAGGAGGGTGGTGCGCTGTCGAGCGAGAGACTCAGAGCCGAGCAAAATAGTCCAGGAGGAGACGTTTGTGACGGAGCAGGTGGAGGTGGAGCAGGACGGAGATACATGTGTCGAAGTGTGCACGGTGAGCCGAGGATGCAGCCGAAGTGAAGTCGTCGCCATTGACAGGAAGTCAGTGGCGGAGGTTAAGATGGAGGATGACGAGCGTCCGCTGTCTGTGATCAGCAGCTCCTCACATGTCCTCCAATCCCTGAAAGAGGACCAGGATGATGAGCTGCCACCCAGCGCCTCACAATGCTGCCGTAGCATCGAACCATCTCCAACGCACAAGGAGGATGAGGGAGAGGGGAAGAGCAGAGCAGCATCCTCGTCTCACTGTGGAGCAGACACCCCCCGTTCAACAGCTGACGACCGAGCCCCAAGCTCCAAGTCCCAAAGGAGTCGAGCATCTGACAGGTCTGGTGACAACAAGATCCCAAACACAGAGCAAGAGGAGGACGCAGAACTAAAGAGGGTTGTTAGCAGCTTGTCTCAGAAGTCATCCGGCGTGTGCTCTAACTGTGGCGCCTGCAAACGCGAGGCTAACTCTGAGTCTAGCAGTCGAGCGTCACAAAGGTCCGATCGCTCACACAAAGCTCCTTCCAAGCCTCCCACACCTCTCGGAAATAACGGTAGCGACGACGAAGACTCAGAGTGTTCGGTTGGGTCGACGCAGTCCAACAGGAGCAACATCACCGGCCGCTGCTCGGCGGTGTCACACATGCTGGAGGAAAGAGCGTCCAGTCACATGTCCAGTCCTGAGGAAGGAGGGGGCGAGGAGGAAGGAGCCAGTGACGGTGATGTAGGAGAGGAAGCAGAGGAAGAGAGGTCAGATAGCTCCTTGTCAGACAAATCTGGGGCTTCTGTAAAGACAATAACTAAAGCTGCTTCCCCGACTGGAAGTGCAGTCGTGGAGGAAGAGGATACAAACAAAAGAAGTCCCAGTGCCCTCTCTGATAAGCCAGACAGACCTGAGAGTGTCCTTTCTGCTAAATCCAATGTGTCTGCAAAGTCCGGAAAATCTCACAAGTCAACTTGCAGTCACTGTGCGAGGCCAGTATCTGCAGCAGCTCAGGAAACGATTGAACCAGAAGAAAATGGACAAGAAGAAGGAGTTGAGGTCGAGGAGAGAGCAGCGAGTGCCGCTTCAGCAAAATCCAATCTTTCAGCGAAGTCTAATAAGTCCTCCAAAGCTCTTGAAAGGTCAGAAAGTGAAGAGGGTGAAGAAGAACGGCCTGCGAGCAGACGGTCTGGTAGATCCAACGTGTCTGTTAAGTCTTCAAAGTCGTGCAAATCTAACGGCATTGACATTGCTGAACCTCCATGCTCCGAGGAAAAGGAAGATGAGTTGGTAGAAGATGAAGTGGCTTCTCCAGCTGTTTCAGAAAGAGCAACCAGCGCCATGTCGGGGAAATCAAACAAATCCTCCAAATCCCAGAAGTCAGCAGCAGTTTCTCCAAATCCAAATGAAGCTGATAATCCTTCTATCGAGGCAACCGGAGCAGAGGAGCAACAAGAGGATCAAGAGAGGGTGGCGAGTGCTTTGTCAGTGAAATCAAAATCTTCAGCGAGGTCCCGCACATCTCACAAGTCCTGCAATAGTCTCAAACCGGTGTCATCGACGCCACTTGTTGATGGGGAAGGACATGAGACAACAGAGAGAGCTCAAAGCGCTGCATCCGCGAAATCAGGGAAATCTAGAGTTTCTACTTCGTCCAATCATAACAAGCTTCCTGAAGCCGACGCTGCAGAGACAAGAGGATCCAGTGCCTTGTCCGTTCGCTCCACAAAATCCGCTAAATCTGGAAGATGTAGCAGTGGAAAAGCGTCAGCACTCGACAAGGAAAGGAAAGAAGAAGACGAGGAGGAGGAGGAGAAGAATGAAGCAAGCGAGGAGGCTTCTGAGCGGGCTGCCAGCGTCTTGTCCACCATAAGTCAGAGGAAAGATTCAGGAGACACCGAGCGAGCGCTGAGTCGAAACTCATCCGTTTCTCTTGGCTTGGCAGAAGACCAAGAAACAGCTGACTCGGACAGTGGCAAGTCCAGTGTTTGTTCCCGTGTAAACACGGAGAAACGGAGCCGAACGAAGACAGCAACTCCCCAGGAAACACGCCCCACCGTGTCTCAAAACAGCCGGAAAAGCCCTCACAATTGCCCTGAAATCCCTACTATTAATACACCAGGAGGGAGTCAGGTTAACGAGGAAGAAGGTGAAGAAGAAACCACAAAGAGACGAGCAAGTGCAATGTCCGCCAAAAGCTCCCGGTCTCACAAATCTTCGTCTCGTGTCAAAGCAGCTGCGAAAGAACAACATGAGCTTGAATTCGACAACAGGACATCGTCTGCAATGTCATCCGCGAGTGGGAGAGGTCGGAGTAAATCCTCTGCTAGTGCCAGAGCTAAAAAAGAGACGGACAGCAGGGCGGAAAGCGTCGACTCAAAAAGCGGACGTTGCCTCAAACCTGAGTCGGCAGTTTCCGCTCATTCGGGGTCAAAAACAAAAGCCTCAAACAGGAGTACAGGAGAGGGTTCGGTGAAAAGTAGCAAGGCCAAATCCAGTGTGAAATCATCAGAGTCTCAAAAGAAAGGGGTGAACGCGTCGAGCCCCTCTCACTGCTCCACTCTGTCCCAATCTCTGTCCGCCGCTGACCTGCTGAAGGAAACCATGGCACGTCCACAGAGTAGAGGCAGTGTTCGGAGTCAGAGGAGAGAGGAGGTGATGACGCCTGCCTGTCTGCCCAACGCCTCGCCTAACGAGGTGGTCAGTGATTGGCTGCGAAGTATACCCAACAGTATGATGGGAGCCAAGGAAGAGGAGGAGGAGGAAGAGAAGCCTGCAGAAGAAGAGGATGAGGAAGAGGAGAAGGAAAAGGAGGAAGAAGTGGAGGTTTTAGATCAAGGGAAGGAAGCGGATGTTTCTCCTCAGGACACCAAGAGCTGGAAGTCCTCGGCTGCAGTGATGAAAGTCCTCCTGAGCTCCTCCATGGGCCGATGCAAGAGCATGCCAGAGGTAAGACTTCATGCAAATGCTTTCTGTCTATGTGATAGGAGTATTTGGATTTTTTTTAAAAAGGAAAAGGTTTAGGCTTCAGTCGGTGAAAAAGGAATAACATCGAAAAACGATGATGTTGCGCTTTGCCCACTCAAAAGGTGGGAAGACAAGAGCAGATGTCTTCCAACCTGTAGATAGAAGAAGTGAATTGTGCCCTGTCTCCTTCGATGATAAAGCGGAGGCAGCTGCAAGGTCATACACAGTACCAACAGCTTGTTAGATCCAGGGTGTCCGCGGGGTCTTTAGAAGTATTAAAAGTTGATAAATCAATTTAGCGAAAATGAAGGCTATTAAAAAGTATTAAACGGCATTTTCCAAGGTATTACATTTTGTAGCTTGTTTTCAATAAGTATATAAATTGTCTGCCTGAATGTAATCATTGCGTAGGTGTGTAGTGTGATTCTGTGTAGTTTATTGATGGCATCCCGTTGGATTTGACGTCATCTGAACAGGACATCGAACGCTCACTGCTTGATAGCACGCGAAGGTCCGTTTACGCCGTTTGTTAAACAACATCGTTATGGGGAAATGCAAGTTACGGTGCATTTCCACTGCAGCGGGTAGCCCCGTTTAAGCGTCCTTAATCGTCCTCAAGCGGCCAGGCCAGTTTTTGGCGGCCTTTCCATATAGCGTGGCACCGGCTAGCGGTTAGCGGCTAGCGGGTACTTTTTCCGGCCCCATAAAATCGTGGTTCTATCAGGCCAGGGCCAGGGCTGAACTAGTGACGTCAACACTCTCGACTGCTGATTGGTCAGAGAGAATCGTCACAAGATCGCGCGCGAGATAATCCCTAGCGTTGCATATATATCTAGAAGCAAGCTTGCAGCATTTTTATACACAGCATTTTTGTAAATGGAGGAGCTACAAAAATNCGGGTAGCCCCGTTTAAGCGTCCTTAATCGTCCTCAAGCGGCCAGACCAGTTTTCCATATAGCGTAGCACCGGCTAGCGGGTACTTTTTCCCTCTTTTTCCGGCCCCATAAAATCGTGGTTCTATCAGGCCAGGGCTGAGCGAGTGACGTCAACACTCTCGACTGCTGATTGGTCAGAGAGAATCGTCACAAGATCGCGCGCGAGATCATCCCAAGCGTCGCATATATATCTAGAAGCAAGCTTGCAGCATTTTTGTAAACGGAGGAGCTACAAAAATGGCAACGTCAAAGAAAAGCACACCGTGGTCGACCGAGGAGGTGACGACGTTCCTACATCTCGTTGGCCAAAAAAAAGCCGATCGCCCCGCCTACACTGCGTTGCTACCCCAGGTCCTAAACTGTAATGGTAATGCGCCGCGGCCTCGGACGGCCAGCCCGAGGCCTGAGCGAGGACGCTTAGGGACGCTTAAATGGGGCTACCCCGCTGCAGTGGAAATGTGCCATAAGCGTCCAAATGGTTGGAAGATAAGGAGGAAGGACAATCAATACTGTATATAGTCGACTCGCCAATGTAACCGGTTAGAACTCCAAGTGGCGATGAGGTCTTAAAATGTATGGAAAGGGTCTTAAAAAAGGTCTTAAAAGGTTTTACATTTGACTTCAGGATTCCTGCATAGACCCTGTAGATAACATAGGAATACGAAAGTAAGTTGTATTTTCCCCAACGCTTTCCAATAATGGCTAATTCACTAGGACTTAGGTTGTCTGAATGAATGCAGGTTTAGTTCATGTATATGTACCATGTTTTCTTCTGTAGGTGTCTCCAGTGTATGGTCGCAAACTAAGCACATCGGCCCGCGGGCTCCTGGACTGTTTGACCCAGCTCCAGCTCATCGATCCTGCGGTGGGTCAGCAGAAGAACGGCGGCCAGCGCTACGAGGACGTTATGGTCATCCTGCAGTCCCTCTGGCTCACCGAGCAGAAGAATGATTTAGTCAAAGAGCAGGTGTCTCCACCGAGGTCTTCGTCCGGGCTGGGAATGAGCAGCGGCTCTGCAGGATCTGGGAAGGACAATGGGAATCGTGGTGTGGATGAAACGAAGGAAGAAGAAACAAAGGAGGCTTCTTTACATGAGGAGGAAGCGGTGGAGAAAGCTGTACATGAAGAGGAGGAGGGGGAAGTACATGTAGAGGCAGAACCAGAGGAGGAGGGGGAAGTAAATGCAGAGGCAGAACCAGAGGAGACAGAAGTACACGAAGAGGCAGAACCAGAGGAGACAGAAGTACATGAAGAGGCAGAACCAGAGGAGACAGAAGTACATGCAGAGGCAGGACCAGAGGAGACAGATGTACACGAAGAGGCAGAACCAGAGGAGACAGAAGTACATGAAGAGGCAGAACCAGAGGAGACAGAAGTACATGAAGAGGCAGAACCAGAGGAGACAGATGTACATGAAGAGGTGGTCCTTCCAAATATGGACAGCCTCAAAAACACCAAGGATCCTTCGTCCAGCTCAGCAAACGACAGCTCCAAATCCCCGACTGATAACGAGCGAGACACGCTGGACGACTCGAGCTCGGCCACGCCTCCGACTGTCGTGAGAGCGCCTCTGACCAAAAGACAATCCCAGGACCCCGATCCGGTGTGGGTGATGCAGCTGCTGAAGAAACTAGAGAAGCAGTTCATGAATCACTACATCACGGCCATGTCGGAGTTCAAAGTGCGCTGGGACCTGGACGACAGCCTCATCCTGGACACTATGATCGGAGAGCTGAGGGACGAGGTGAGCAAACGCATCCAGCTCAGCATCCAGCGAGAACTGAAGAAGATCCAGGGTCGAGCCGGACGATTGCCTCGTCCTCCGCAGAGAGGAACTCTCTCCAGAGAATCCACCCTGACGGACAGGAGGCGTCAAATCCTGAAGGTAACAGCACCAAATCATCATTTCATTTTCATTTGTTCCGTCCGTGGTATGCACAACTTAATGTATAACAATTATTTACAAAACATGTCTCTATAAACACACCATACCCGAAAAGGAGCAGGGAGAAGAAAACAATCTGATATGACCTGCCCCTTTCTCAAAATATAGAAATAGATGGTCTGTATGTTCATATTTTCTTATTCACAGCCAATCATAACAGTATCGTAGGAAAATAAGAGAAACACAAAAACGTATTTCCCACTTGACCGTTAATGGAAAGAAACAAAACAAAACATCACATGTACAACGAGAAGTGCAACATCTGAGTTCTACTGGAGTAGAAGGGGAAAGAATAATAATATTCATGAGAAAAGATACTTGCAGCTCACATAATTATCTATTATTACAATAAGCTAGGGCTGCTCGATTATGGCAAAAATAATAATCGATATCACGATTATTAAAAACGATTATCCATGTACTTTGAAAACATTGAACAGTGTTTTTAACAGTTGATTACCCTGAACTTTAAGTATAATTCAACTGAAAAACTAATAATAAATATAATAAATAAAATAAATAAAATAAATAAAATAAATAAATAAATAAATAAATAAAATAAATAAAATAAATAATAAATGCTGACCTGGTGCTCCTCCTGGTGGCTGGGGATGCTCTGCTGCTCCTGCAGAGGTTCACTCAGCCTCAGCTCCAGCGCCTCCATGCAGGAGGAGAGGTTCTGCAGCGAGGCCTGGTACTGCTGCTGCTTCTGGAGAGCCTCGTACAGCGAGCGCTGCTTCTCACTCATCTGAGGGGGCACAGGGTTAGTCCTGGAATAAAACCCCTCTCTGGCGTCTTAATGTTATTCATATAATCCACGTACCACGTTCTTCAGCGTCTCCCAGGAGCGCTGCAGGTCCTCCAGGTGAGCCACGGACTCAAAGGAGGGGTCGTATAGTTCCTGGAGAGGAGCTCTGCTGAGGGACCCCCTGCCCAACTGAGACACATCCAGACAATACCATCATCAATACATACTAGTTATAAATAATATCAGCCAGCCCGTTTTCATTTCAGCCAGAATATATTAGAACATTTCATGAATGGACCAGACAGGAAGTATTCACTTGGTGGGAAAGCGTGATGAATGATGACTGATGGACACCTTAGTTACACAGGGGTCAATACAAGGATCACAACATACAAACATACAGAGAGGCAGACAGACAGGCAGACAGACAGACAGACAGACAGACAGACAGACAGACAGACAGACAGACAGACAGACAGACAGACAGACAGACAGACAGACAGGCAGACAGAGAGACAGACAGCAGACAGACAGACAGACAGACAGACAGACAGACAGACAGACAGACAGACAGACAGACAGACAGACAGACAGACAGACAGACAGACAGACAGACAGACAGACAGACAGACAGACAGACAGACAGACAGACAGACAGACAGGCAGACAGAGAGACAGGCAGACAGACAGACAGGCAGACAGAGAGACAGACAGACAGACAGACAGGCAGACAGACAGACAGACAGACAGACAGACAGACAGACAGACAGACAGACAGACAGACAGACAGACAGACAGACAGACAGACAGACAGACAGACAGACAGGCAGACAGACAGACAGACAGACAGACAGACAGACAGACAGACAGACAGACAGACAGACAGACAGACAGACAGACAGACAGACAGACAGACAGACAGACAGACAGACAGACAGACAGACAGACAGACAGACAGACAGACAGACAGAGAGACAGACAGACAGACAGACAGAGAGACAGACAGACAGACAGACAGACAGACAGACAGACAGACAGACAGACAGACAGACAGACAGACAGACAGACAGACAGACAGACAGACAGACAGACAGACAGACAGACAGACAGACAGACAGGCAGACAGGCAGACAGACAGAGAGACAGACAGACAGACAGACAGACAGACAGACAGACAGACAGACAGACAGACAGGCAGACAGACAGAGAGACAGACAGGCAAATAGATAGAAATACAATGAATTGACCAGATGTCAGATTCCTTAGTGACAGTATTAATATCAGATACCTTAGTGATGGAGGCGTCGATGACGGGGATGGGGGAGGGGGAGCGGCAGATCGGGGGGGATGACACCTCGCTATTAGAGCCCTCCTCCCCCGACTCCTCCCTCACCGGAGAGAGGAGGCAGCAACCTGCCGTCATCTGAAGGAAACAGGAAACAGGAAACAGGAAGTGAGTGTTGATTAATAACTCAATGCAGCTTTCATAAACATGTTACTTAAAGGTCTCCTATCATCCTCCTCTTCATCAATATATCACAGGTCTCAGATATATCCAGAGCCTGTCTCTGATTGGCTGAAACACCAAACAGATCATTGCAGCATTACCCATAATCCCCTCTGTTGCAGCCCTGTTTCAAAGTGCTGATTCCCAGATGAAAACAAGGAGCCCCTCCCCACGCCCCTCTGAGAGACATTTGGTTACAAAGAACTCAATAGCCGCTTTCACACCGGAGGACTTGCCGCACTAAAGTACCACGGCACTGAATCGGCCAGAGGGCTAGTGCCAATCGCTTTCACACCGCAGGACTTTCCCTGAGGCAAGATTACACTGACGTCACTTGGTCTTCTTCTTCTCTGGGTTTACTGGCAGGCCGCAAAAACACTTCACGGCGAGTACAAAAAAAAACGAGAGAAGAAGAACTACACGGGGGAGGGAATATAAAGCCCACCCGCTGTACATGAGGCTACACTTCTCTGTGTTCTGTTTGTTCCCTTGCACAAGCCTTTTTATTAAACTGTCGATGTTGATAGACATCAGTTCCAAATTCCAGCAGCTTCTTTGTGTTTTCCAATTTTATTGCTCAAGGGAAATCCCATCACAAGTGTCTCTACCGGGTTTAATCTGTGGCACTCAGTGAAGAGTATTTAAATTGGTTTGTATGTACATGTACATGAAAATGAACTGCACATGTAGCAAAAAACACATTAAGCTGCACACACTCAGTTCTTGGTACACCTAACATCTTGGATAGATTTAGGAATTTCATATGAATTTGTTGAAGGAAAATTTGTTATTCATCAGAAGAGAATTTGAAGCTGAACAGAAGGTTAATATAGAAACAGAGATGGGGGTCCCTCTGGTCCTGTGGACAGCAGAGTGTCAGCATGAGTAACTGGACCCACTAAAGTGTCATCAGATAGAGAGATAATGCTAATTAATAGTACTGAAGGACAAAATGTATCAACACATTCAAATTCAAATGGTATATAAAACAAGTATTTGTTTTTTGTTATCTGCTGAAATGTCAAAATACAATACCATACAAAAAAAGAGTATTCTGACCACCTGAAGCACTGTTACACTACCTGCCAGCATTTCTTCATCCATACACACATTCATTCACTGATGGCAAGGCTGCTTTACAAGGCGTTGTTTATCATCTAACTCACACACACACTTTCAGAGCAATTTTACATTATGGGTAGGAGTCTTTGACATGCCAGCAGTGAGAGGTGAACATTAGAGTGTAATCTGAGTGATGCATTTAGCTCTCCAACGATGCTGCCAAACACCAACTATCCATGTCATCATGGTGTCCCTGCCCTATCACTGTTATTTTAGAGAGCACTAATGTATATGCGGCAAATTGTGTAATACAAAATAGGAGGACAGATTTTAAAAAAAAAATTACATTAAAAGACTAACTCAGCATACTTTAGGGAGCTTAATATGATACCTTAACACATACTGTGAAGCATATACAGATTATAATACATGAAAAATGGGAACAACATAAAAGTAGACTAGTCCAAAAAACAAGATGATTGTCAGTGGATACAAATTCTGATCCTAAATTCCAAACTTTTAGGGACTCACATAAATCTCAACATCTTACCAACAATCTACTGACTACACAAATAAAGAGCTACGGTTGAGAAAGACTTATCAGCCCTGTTAAGTAGCCAGCTTGAGATATATATGTGTATATATATAGATGATGAGTTTGTGTTGATCTTACCTGCCTCTGTGGCTTTGAGCCCAGTCTTGGTGTCCCCTCCTGGTTTAACAGGAGCCCAGGGGCCCTTCAGCTGCGCCGGTAGTTTCCCCTCCAGAGAATCCAGGGAGTGAGAGGGCTGGTTAACTGCTGCCCAGGTATACAGCTGGTCATGCTGCGGGGGGGGGTAAGTAGATTTGGTACTTTTGATTATAGCTCTACAAATATGACAATGTACAGCAAATATTTGTACTTTTACTCCACCATGTAACAGTATGTTGCCTTAGTAACGATGCTGTAAGCAAACTAATTCTGATTCAGCATTGTGAGTCAAAATAGGAAATATGTCACACGGGGTTAAGACAAAAAGGAGAAAAAATACAAAATATACATACAGTATGTTAGGTACATTTAAAAGCAAGTACGTAGTAACAACTACGTTTTACATTTTTGTAAGTAGTAGCAACGAAATGTTCATACGTAGGATAGAATAAAAAACATATAGAATTTTCTGAAACTGAGATTGTAAAAATATGTTATACTCTTTTCATCACATCCCACATCCTCTTGGACTAGGTTGCCCCTGCAATCATGAGTATGTGCTAATGCATATATTGGTGAGGAAATCAATATACATTACATACAGTATAGGCTGTGGTCTTTCAATGCCAAAACCTCCACTGGCCAAAACAAAGAAAAGATAGATGATGGCGTGTGTGTATGTGCACAGAACCTTCACAACAAACATGTTGATGATGTATGGTTGAATCTAATAGCAAACAGATATTTGCTTTGTTAAAACAAAATATAATCTGGTTCAGAATGAAGTCACTTTCTCAGATCTTCTGCATTGTTTCATTGGCCGCCCGTCGTGCATGCATGCTAGTGAAGGTGAGTCCCTGTGTGGCCCACTGGCTGTTCAATCACAGTCGCTCATACAGCTGTTGCTGCCCCCCCTCCAGGTTAGACACTGTAGGCTCTGTCAGCACTGTTGTCCCTGTTTGCGCTGTTAGCACTATTAGCACTATTATCACTGCCAGTACTGCTAGTTGCCATTTTTGGCACCTCCATTTTTCCTAGAGATGTTCCCAAACACGTTAATGCATTAACACCTCGGTTTCTGGAAACCTAAAACCTTTATAAATGTGTGTGACAACACAGCAAATAGAGATAAACTGATGACTGAGGAAATATCCCCCGGTGTTGAGATGTTAAGTAGCCCTGTCTAGAGCACATTATACAGAGGGAATGTCAGTGACAGTGGCTTTGTCAATGCTTTAGCATTTAAGCTCGTCTGCCTGTGCAACTGCTCTAAAGAAAGGTACTTTATGAACTAGTTGACTAGTGGAAGGACAACAATGTTCACACTGAGTAATGTTATTCGACACAGTGTGAAAAGGGACTGTTCACTTTGTTTCCTAAAATACATGGCATTCAGTTTTTTGGATGACTTCTCACTTTAGAAATAATTTAGGTACTTTTTTTGAAATGTAGGTTTAGGGACCCATGTATTGGTTTTATTTCCACCTTAAATACAATTAAATACTAGTATTTAATCATTTGTTTAATAATGATTAGTAAGATTGTTATTGTTATTGTGGTTACATTTGTTAAACGATTGACAGCACTACTTTTGACGTAAGAAGAAATAGCCCTACTCAGGCAATCCCGGCCTACACTTTGTATGTTGTATGGCACCTAGGTAATACGTATAAAGATCAAACACAAATCCCCAATAATTGTCGTCACTTTTTAATTACATTTTTCAATCCCAACCCTAACCCTAAACCTAGAAAGTGGCGACAGATAACCAACAAGGTTCTATTAAGAACACAGCAGCAAACATAGCCCAACCACAGCTTTGAAAAACTTTTATGAAGTGTGTCTACATACATCAAATGTGGCTACTGCTGTGGAGGGGAGGTGGGTGGTGCTGCCCTCCAGCTGCTCTCTGAAGCAGTCAGCGAACGGCAGCAGGAGCCCCATGGCCAGGATCCTGGAGCAGAGCCGCTCCGCCTCCTCCGGCTCCTCCTGCTGCTGCTGCTGCAGGAACAGCTTCTCCAGGAGGGTTCGCCCTGACAGACCATGATCAAACAAACGCTATTTGCTAAAAATCCTAGCTGAATAAAAACAGGGTGTACATGCACTGTAGTAAGTTGTTACTGACAGCACATTGAACAAAAAGATTGAACTTGAAGAGTCTTTAGTTATCAAATAGTCAACCTTCGACTCTAGGTGTCACTTTGTGTTAGTTTCAGTTAAAGTTGGACTTTGGATGGAGTTATTCTACAAACAAGGACATATCTCATACATGGCTAAGAACTCCACTTTCTCCAGCAAAAATCTAGATTGGCAAATCATCGGTCAATCAGCTTTTCAAGGTAATGGACCCTTATATGCATGACATACTCCAGTGAATGTTTGTGTCTGCATATCCATTGATTCCAACTTGTTACGTTGAGCATATTGCTTTCTTCTTGCCCCTAGTAAACTATAACTGTATTGTAAGTGACATTGGTTCCTGCTCACCTGTGAAGATGTCCTGAAAGCTGCAGGTAGAAACCTGTCCACAGGAGGATCTTCTGGTGGCACAGAGGGGCTGGCTGCCTCCTCCTCTGTAGCTCAACAAATATTCCCCCAGACAACCCCCCTCCTCCTCCCTGCTCCTCAGCCTCCTCTCCAGCGCCTCCGTCCAGTCAGCAGAGCGACTCAGAGAACCAGCGAGGCTTCGAGAGCGCTGCCGCCGGACCCGAGGACTCTCAGCCATCGTCCTGTCAACACACACACTACAGGTTAGCTTTGCTTTGGAAACAGATCACTCACAACACTTATTACAATGGGCAAACTACAATGATACAATAAAAACAGGCAAATTACAAATGTTCTTCAAATTTGGCAGTAGCCTACTTTTAGTATTGTAGCAGACTCAAAGGACATAAATCACCCCTGTCTGTGGTTAAATTCTAGCACCCAAATAATGTGCCTTTACTGTGATGACCTTCAAATCCAACACAGTAACATTTGAACAATGTTAGTGTGTTACTATGGTAATGTAGATTGTTGAAAGGAGCAACAATATTTTTGAAATGTGAGTGATAAGCCTGAAAATAAACGACACACCTTGTATAGTCAAAGACAGAAGTCACAACTTTTACAGTTTTTCAGACTTCATTTTATTTGGAACTCTCCGAATGCCAATGGTCTAAATTAATTTAAATATATACTTTTATTTATTTATGAATTTCACTCAGTAGTGCTACTTCAAAAACAATAGTAGGCATCATTCTGGCTTTAAAGGAATGCCCATCACAAGGATGCAAGTGGGCTCTAAAACTAAATGGATATGAAGGGAACCACATGCCTGAGATAAAGCCCTTTCAGAAATGGAATATGAAACCTTGCAAGGTACATGTATCTTCTATATAGTGTTGACTTTTTGTTATTCAGACATAGATTACTTTTGTGCCAATGTTCCTTACAGACATGACAGGATATTTATAGAAAGAGCTGAGTGTGGATGTGTTATTTGGCACCTGCTGTGGGTACTATGTTTGTTCTGTACCCACAAACAGGACAAACATAGGGTACAGGACCTTTAGTTATAACAGCCAGGTGCATCATCTGGACAAAGATGTGTTTGTTAACTGAATGCTAACGAAGCGTAGGCCCATCTGCATTACTAACCAAGCTGTTTATTGCTTAATGAAACCCATACCATTAGCTTTCCTTAATGTGTGACTGTTTACTACATTTTGTGTTTGAAAATGTTATTCACTTTATTATTTGGTGTTAGTTTAGCATTGTTTGACACTTACAGCAAACAGCTAGCGGGTAGCATTCTAACCTTAACCCTTACCCTCAAAATATTGCGGACTTGCTGTTGATTACATCACATTTAATTTCCCTGTTGGCTTTGGGGAGATTTATTCGCGAAACATGTGCTGCCTCTGTTATTGATGCCGATGCTCAGAGTGCCCTTTTGGTTAGATTTAGATATTATAGTTTTGTGCATTTTTAATCCCCACATTATATTCACTTAGGTAATGAGATCTGGGAACTTGGTGACTATGTAGGTGGTGTTGCTTTTAATCTCTTCCTGAGCATGTAAACTACACTGGGTCAGTGTTTAAGTAAGAAGGTTGTTTGTCAACTGTGATGGATGTTTGGGTTATAACTTGATCATTTTACCAAGTTTGACCAACCTGGAGGTTCGTTGTCTGATCAGTCATAATTACACTCTGTTTTTGCAACACAAAGTTTCCAGACCCCATCAATAACCTTTGTAATGATTCATATGATTCTAAAACTACTAAAATAACACCATCTTGTAATAAACTTCAATTATCCTCTTTATCTAACAAATACAATACACTTTACCTGCAAATGATTAACATCACTTGTGACTGTTAAAACGCATACTGTATCAACAATTCAGAAATAATAACATTATTATAAATGACTTCACCCCAGGTACCTGTGGAGGTGGTGGTGGGCTCTGCGCGGGGACAGGGGGCTGTGGGAGGGGGACAGGGCGGGGGAGTGTCCAGGGGAGCTGAGCTGCCTGGTGGTGGTCTTGATGTAGGAGGGGAAGATGGGAGGGTAGGGTTTCACCACAGGGGAAGAGGAGGTGGAGGAGAGAGTGGACCTGAGGAGATTTCTGGCTAATGTGGGGCTCTCCTTGGGGGGCAGCGGGTTGAAGCACACGCTGCTCTTCCTGCACTGCTGGTTGGAGGGGGGGGCAGCAGACCCCACACTCAGGCAGTCCTCGAGGGACTCTGTACTGGTACCCAAGCCCAACAGACCCTCACCTTCTTCGAACACGACCCCTGAGCTCAGCACGTTTTCGGGGGGGTCTGCTGGTGGAGGGCTGAGATCCACCTCCACCCCCGGATCCATCTCCTCCTCTCCTTCACCTCCTGCTCTCTCCCCCAGGGTCTCAGCACTGTCAAATGTGAGTTCAGTGAAGCTGTTACCACTGGTTGTCATGGAGACCGGGCTGACTGTTTCCCCCCCTGTTGTAGCCATGGTGATGGTAGTGTGAGGGGGCTCCTGCACCCAATCATGCTTCTCCTTTGTGCCTGTGGTAACACAAAGAGGGGCTTCTCTCTCCCTCTGCCCCTTGCCATTTAGCTCCGGATGCTCCAGCCCCCCCTCCTCCTCCCTTCCCTCATGTCCCTCAGTGGGTGACGGGGGGTGTGGTGTCTGCTCCATGAGCTTGACAGAGCTGGACACAGTTCCCGTCTCCAGGAATGACAGGGCATCGGACCCCAGCTCTAATTCTGGAGTCAGGTCAATCACCTCTGGAGGAGTACATTTAACTCCCCCATTACTCTTCCTCTTCCCCTCTCCTCCCCTCAGACTCAGATCCTTTTCTCCCGGTCCTTGTGCATCCAAAGTAGGATAAACCCCCCCATGCTGCGGTTGGTAATGGAGCCTGATAGCCAGCTGGATGTCTGCTAGCAGATCCTCGTGGTCAGCTGCGGAGTGGAAGCTGTAGATGTCAGTGTCGGACCCTGAGCTGCCCCCCTTCGGCCCCCCATCCTCCGCGGGTGAGGTTGCTGCTGTCGAGGCTTTCCTCTGCACCTCCTGCTTCGGCTCTTCTTTCTTTTTCCCCGGTTCTGGTTTCTTTTTCTTTTCAACCTCAGTGTCCGACTGACCCAGCTCGTCTGCAGACAGGTCAGGTGTTTTGGTGTCCAGCTCCTCATGTTGGGAGAGTAAAACGTCCTCCTTCGATCCCGTCACTGACGAGCACACGTCCCCTCTCCCTTTCAGGTTGCCCTTTCTCTTCCGGATGGAGAAAACAGAGGACTTGGATTCGGATTTGTTTTTCTTCTTCCCTGGTCCTGTGCCATGCATCCCCCCTCCTCCTCCACCGCTGCCTGCTCCTTTACCTCCATGCTTATTGTGTGGTTTCTTTCCCCCCTTTTTGGTGGTGTCCCCTCCTCCCTCTTTCCATCCTTCATCCAGGGAAGGGTAGCTCCCGTTACCCGATGCTGCTGCAGCTCTCTTCTGCTTCGCCTCCTGGTTGCCCATGTTGATAGCAATACCGATGGCTTCCTGCCTCTCCTCTCAGGTCATGTCAGCGAGAGCCCCTCCTGCCTGGGGGAGTCTTTAGATGCTCTGGAAACCGTTGTGGCCTAATCTGTGGAAGCACGTCTGGTGGAGGTGGAGGAGCTGCTGGTGCTGATGGTGTTAAAGCTCCGTTGTGCGCCTATCTTCCTCCTTGTTTTCCTGTGACGGGACCGGCGTGGCAGTGATGTTGACGCTGATGCAGGAGAGGCATACAGCTCCCTCTTCCTCCTCCCCTTTCTCTCTTTCTGTCTTACCCTCCCCCACCTCATCCTCTCCGTCTGCTGAAAGGAGTGACGTAGGCAATGCATGCTCAGTGAGGCTCGGGCAGGGAGGCAGGCTGGGTGAGATGCTGGGAGACTGGGATGGGGACACAAAGCTATGCCTACGGGGGAAAAAAAGCTTGAGAGGAATAAAGATGCTGCTGGCGACTGTGACTGTGCTGTTGGGGGGGAAATACACCCTCCTCTTGGCTGAGCTATCTCATCTGTCACTGCAGTTAAACACACACTAGCTCACTACAGCTCCCATGATTCCCTGACTCCGTCCTACAACACCCATAGTGCTACAGTATGTGTGGGCAGGACTCCGGTAAAAGGACCTCTTATGCAGCTTACTGTTATTGCAGGATGCTAGCTCCTTGTCATTTTATTTTGAACAGCAATCACAGAAAAAATAATGCTTATTCATGGTTTAATAAATGTACCTGAGCAATTTTTCTATTACAACATTTGTATTTGTATTAAGGGTTTAAGTTATTGTTTAAATTGGAAAAATTATATCACTATTTGCCTTTAAGCAACTTACAATAAGTGCTGATCAATTTAGTTTACATTCAAACAGATAAAGCCTTACCATTACATCCCTTGTTCCGGTGCTTTCAGTCACATCACATGATCTTCCTCAGTACATGGAGTTGTAACGGAATGTGGCTGTTTACATTTCCCCCCAGTATGGGGTACAATCCATGTTTCTGTTATAGTGCAAAAGGAGTTTTTTGTTTTTTTGTTATTGAAAAATCGCAAAATCACAACAAAAAACCTCCTGACATTTTTTGTTGGTGAAAGACAAAACGAGAGAGGCAACATGTAGATGTCTGGAAACGGTGTGCAGGCTTTTGGCATTACAGAGGAAGATGGAGACAGGCAGTTCACGCAGACTGCGTGGGGCCTCACCTCGCGGAGGGGGCCTCACCTCGCGGAGAGGGCCTCACCTCGCGGAGAGGGCCTCATTTCGCGGAGCTTCGAAGTTTCAAAAGTAGAACATTGCTCTACTTTTGAAGCGAGCAACGCTACGTTTCGCTCCCACAATGCAGTTCGGCGAAGCGTGACGTCAACCCATTCAAAGTGAATGGGCAGAAGCGTTGAAGCTTCAGCGTGCGCCGCCGTGTGTAAGCTCCGTTACGGCCCCTACACACGGCCGCGTGCGTTGCCGCTTCATCGCTTCTGCCCATTCACTTTGAATGGGGTGACGTCCGAAGAC